CCCCAAAACCCCAAAACCCCAAAACCCCAAAACCCCGTTGACTGGGAAATAAATTGATATTATTTATTGTTTAAGAATGGAGGCAAATCAAGATTCTCAGAATGATATTGATCAGTGAAAAGAGACTGATAGGATAGTAGAGGACGATTCTATGTACCAATCTTGTGCTGAGTTAAATGTTGTGAGTGTTGATAAATTAGAAAGTATTGAAGATTCTTCAGAAAATCTGGATTCAAAATTAGAAAATTTTGAAATTATTGCAGAGCAGATTGAAATATTGGTTAAGCTATACCTTAAGCCCATAATCCAAACTACCTTCCCTAATAGATATAATAATCTTTATGAACTTTGAGTAGAACTGATAGACGGAATTAATAGCACAGATTGGACACCTGCAATTCCCCACAATTCCTCAATCCCTGGCAGATTAAGCAAACTCAAACTAGACTTCACCGACCTAATATCAAAATGTCTCACCAACTCATCTTCCAACTCCTCCCCAAATCTCCATCCCCCAATCCCCTCCCTACTCCTAAGTAAGCCTATCGAAACCCTCCTTTACTCACCACTTTTGCGCATGGCCTAGACCACTCATCTGTTCGTATCCTCAACCCTAAATATTCCAAACCGCGCAACACCAAAGCCTAAATATCATCAAAGGGGCAGATTCAGTCCAAAGAGCGTTTTCTGATTGATTATGTATAGAGAAAGAGGATTTTGATTGGCTGAAAAGTGATATTGAACACTGTCTTTTGAAGAGGGTGGATAGGATTGATATGAAATTATGCTCGGATTTTTATGGAAATAGTAAGGGTGCTGGCTCTATGACAGAGGAGAGTAATCTTACGTCAGATAATGGATTAAACCTTTGGTTGAATGAGCCAAAAGATTTAGGATTTTTGAAGAAAATACGAAACTTATCTTTGCCAAATTTGGAGAAATTTTCTTTGTGCATTACAACCAGACACAAAAAGATTACTAAAATTTTGGATCATAGCTTGTTTTCAAAGAGGATCGAGTGTCTTTCCTTTGATTGTATTGGTTTAACTCCGATATGGCCTTATCTTACTCACATTATTAGCAAAAGCCATAAAGTTACTGGAATCATCGAGCTTTGGGATTTTGAAATTAGTGAACTCCAAATCAAGAAAATATTCAGAGCATATAGACATTTGACGGACCTGGCCTTTATGAGTTGTAAACTTCATTTTCCTAGAGTCCCTGACTTCTCTAAAGCCTTGGAGGAAACTTGCATTGAGAATCTTAACCTTTGGGATTGAGAAAACATTGAGAGAAGCAACTGGGAGAGTTGGCCAGAAAGATTTAATAACTTTATTTGTGGGCTTTCCCAGTCAGACTTGAAACATTCTCTCCAAGAAGTTGACTTTGGAGAAAATTCATGTTTTGAAAGAAGGTTCGTCTCTGAAACATTTGGTAGATTTGGATTGTCTCATGTAGTTATAACAGGAAATTTTATAGATGATAATTCTGCTATATCTACATGCTCAGATTAATGCGAAATTACTATTTTGGTCTAAATTCATTCAATAAAATTCAGAGTGTTTGGGGTTTTGGGGTTTTGGGGTTTTGGGG